TAAAAGGGACCTGAGGAGCAACTTTTTCACGCATGGTGGTGCATGTATGTAACGAGCTGCCAGAGAAAGTGGTGGAGGCTGGTACATCACAACATTTAAAAGGCATCTGGATGAGTACATGGATAGGAAGGGTTTGGAGGGATATGGGCCAAATGCTTGCAAATGGGACTAGATTTATTTAGGATATCTGATCGGCATGGATGATTTGGACCGAAGGGTCTGTTTACGTGCTGTATATCTTTATGACTGAAATGAGGAAATACTTCTTCCCTCAGAAGGTGGTCACTTTGTGGAATGACCACCATAGACAAGAGTCACTGAGTATATCAAACAAAGAGATTGATAAGTGTTTAGATATTAAAGGCATCGAGCGCTATGGAGAGATAGTAGGAATGTGACGTTAAAACAGACAATTAACCATGATTGTTTTGAATGGCAGAGCAGGTTTGAAGGCCCAAAAGGCCTATGTAGTGATTGTAATGATGTCAGCCAGGTGGACCTCAGAATGAAATCCCTGATTGGGTTGTTAATCTAGTCCAATCAGGAAGCCTTGGCTGACAGATAAGAAAAGGAGTGTCAGAAGTTCTGTTCATCCTGAGAGTTGGCCCTGAAGGAGCTGGATCAGTGTCAAGGACTCTCCACGTGTAAATAAAGGGTGACTTAGTGACAGTGACAGAATACTGGCCTCTGTGGAGTTATTTCAGCCTACACCTATGTTTCTAGGTTTACAGTGTGAAAGGAGGCTGTTTGGTCTCTTGTTTGCACTTGCTGTCTGAAAGAACATAATGACTTAGTGTTGTTCTTCTGCGCTTTCTCCGTAACCCTAAATTTTGTTTCTATTTAAACATTAGAGGTTGGTTATGAAGGCTTGTTTTTCAGGCTGGAGGCCTGTGACCATCGGCGTTCTGCAGGGATTGGTGCTAGATCCACTGTTGTTTGCTGTTTATATAAATGATCTGGATGAGAATTTAGGCATGGTTAGTAAATTTGTGAATTACACCAAAATTGGTGGTATAGTGGACAGTGAAGAAGGTTTCATAAGAATGCAACAGGATCTTGATCAGTTGGGCTAATAGGCCGAGGAGAGGCAGATGGAGTTTAATTTCGATAATTGCGAGGTGTTACATTTTGGTAAAACAAACAAGGCAGGATTTACACAGTTAATGGCAGGACCATGGGGAATGTTGTCGAACGGAGAGACGTAGGGGTTAAGGTGCCATTTTCACTGTGGTGTCACAGGTAGACAGGGTGATGAAGGCAGCATTTGGTAAGTTTGCCTTCATTGGTTAGAGCATTGAGTGCAGCAGTTGTGACATCATGTTGCTGCTGTTCACGACTTTAGTGAGGCCCCTTTTGGAGTACTATGTATAGTTCCGGTCACCCTGCTAGCAGAAGGATATTGTTAAATTGGGAAAGGTGCAGAAAAGATTTATGTGCTATAACAGGACTGGAGGGTTTAAATAATAAAGAGAGGCTGGCTGGAGTGGGACTTTGTTCCCCAGGAGCGTAGAAGGTTGCTTTGGAGATTTATAAAATCATGAGGTGCATAGATAAGGTAACTAGCAAAGGTCTTTTCTCAAGGATGGAGAGTTCATAACTAGAGGGCATAATTTTAAGGTGAGAGGAGAAAAATTTAAAAGGGACGTGAGGGGCACTTTTTCGCACACAGTGGTTCGTGTACAGAATGAACTGCCAGAGGAAGTGGTACATACAGTGACAATGTTGAAAAGTCATTTGGACAGATACATGAATAGGAAAGGTTTAGAAGGATATAGGCCAAATGCAGACAAGTGGGACTAGTTTACTTTGGTAAACCTGATCGGTTAGACCAAAAGGTCTGTTCCTGTGCTGTATGACTCTGTGACTGTATAATTATCTAATGTCCTCTTGAATGCCTTGAGAGTGGAAGTATGGTAGAGAGATAGAGGATCAGCCTTGATCATGTTAAATGGTGGAGTGGGTTCAGTTGGCTGCATAGTCTATTCTTTTTTCTATTTTCAATGTTTCTAACTGAGCCTGCCTCCACTGCACTTCCAGGCAGTGTGTTCTAGAGCCTAACTATTTGTTGTGTGAGAAAGGTTTTTCTCACATTGCATTTGATCCTTTTGCATATTATTTTGTCTGTGCCCTCGCAGTCTTAATCCTCTTCTAAGAGGTGCTTGTTGTTGCTTCTGACCAGATTCCTCTCAATTTTGAAAATTTCAACCAAATCTCCTCTTGGCCTTTTCTCCTTGGTGAACGATCCTAACTTCACCAGTCTGTCATCATACCTCATACGTCATCATATCATCAATCTACCTCATGCCTGAAACCATTAACATGAATTTCTTCTGCAGTCTTTCTTTCTGTAATGGGTTCACCTTCTTCCCAAAGTGCAGCACCCAGACTATGCACAATACTCCAACTAAAGTCTAACTTGTCTCTTATACAGGTTCAGTGTAGCCTCTCTGTTCTTGTAGTCTATGCTAGTATTGATAAAGATTACGATAGTCTATGCTTTATTAACTGTGATCTCCACTTGTACTGACTTATGCACACGTCCACTTTGATCTCTCTGCTGTTGCACACCTTTTAGAAAAGTATCCTTATTTTGTGCTGCTTCCCCATGTTTCTTTTGAGGGAATATACCTAAACTGTGTCCAAACGTTCTCCTCTTTGGAGATAGTTCATTGTTCAGCTATGGTTTTTCCTGCTAACCTCCAATTCCAATATGTCCAGCCCTATTAAAATTGACTCTTCCCCCTTCTTCTCACTGTGGATTGTCCTTTTCCTTTTCCTTCTCCTTTTCTACTGTCTTCGTAAACCTTATGTTACAACAATCACTGTCTCTAAATGCTTCCCCACTGACATTTCTGCTTGGCCCATCTCATTCTCAAGCAAAGGTCCAGCAGTGCCTTCTTTCCTGTCAGATTTGGCACGTAACTCCTGTGGAAAAGTCTAATGAACACAATCTAGGAATGCTTACCCCTCACTGCTCTTTACGGTACCAACCTCCCAGTCTATATTTGACAGATTGAAGTCACCCATTTTGACTTCTCTTGAGATGTTTATACCAGTCTAATATCCTCGCAGATTTGCTGCTCCACCTCTTTACCACTAATGAGTGGTCTGCAGATTAGAGTAAGTGATGTGGTTACACACTTTTAGTGCCATATTTCTAGCCAAATTGACACACTCCTTGAACTCTCTGGGACACAATCTTTCTGCAGCACTACAATGCTCTCTTTAAACAATGTTGCTGCCCCATTTCCTTTTCTTTCCTATCTTTTCTGAATACCAAGTAAGCAGGAATATTCAACACTCAATCGTGCCCTTCCCTGAGCCATATCTCTGTTAGAGCCACAGCATCATAATTCTGCATGGTAATCTGCACCCATAATTCAACAATCTTATTAAATATACTTTGTGCTTTCACATGCATGTAGTGTAGCCCTGATTTAGATCCCATTTCTTTCTTCCTTTTTGCAGATACATCTATTAACTACTTATATTCCAATACAGTCTATGCCTCTTCTTGTTTTGTGAATACTAGTATTACTCTTTACTGTACTTGATTGGTTCCCATCCCACTGATGAATTAGTTTAAATTCATCCAATAGCATCAGCAAAACACCATATGAGGAATTCAATGCTGGCTCTGTTTGGGTGCGACAAGTCTGGTTTATATGGGTGCCATCTCCTCCAGAGCCAATGCCAATTTACGGGGAATCCAAAACCCTTTCCTCTGTGCTATGGCTGCTGGAAACTTTCCCACATGTCTTTTGTCTGTCAAATTGGTTTTGTATGGAGGCTGGCCGGCTTTTCTCTAACCTTCGGCTTCAAATCCAACTCTGACTGATTGGATGGAAATCTTGCTTTCTGCTGGCTGTTCAACACTGAACCCTACAGAAGGTCCTTCATGTAGCCATCTTGATATTTCTGCAGAACCAGCTATAAACTACGTCTGCATTTATGGCTAGATTGGTTAGATAGATGAGGACAAAAAGAGTGGAAGTGATATGAGACCAGGACAGGTTGTCATACTCGCAGACTCGGAGAATACTGCTGTGAACTGGCTGCAGCATGTGTTTGTTCCCACTTGTTTGAATATGCAGCTTTCTGGATCTGGTTTTATGCCTGATTTGAGAGAGAGAGAGAGTGATGCAATATTCTTTAAAGTTTAGGAAATTGAGAGTTTATCACTGAAATGTCTAAAATTATCAGGAATTGATAGGTTAGATTTTGGAAGCCCATATCTTCTTGCTTGGAGGGTCTAGAATTTGGGATCACAATCAGTATTTATTTATATTGTGGGTGGCTCAGTGACTAGCACTGCTGTCTTTCAGTGCCAGAGACCTGGGTTTAATTCCAGCCTTCGGTGACTTTCTGTGAAGTTTGCACGTTCTCCCAAGCGTCCCAGTTCCACCGGATGCTCCGGTTTCCTCCCACAGTCCAAAGGTGTGCAGGTTTGGTGGATGGGCCATGCAAAATGAAGTTGTGGGAAAAGGATGTGGGGGGGATTGGTCTGGAGGGATGCTGTTTGGACTCTTGGTGCAGACTCGATGGGTCAAATGGCCTCTCTGCACAGTAGGGATTCTATGATATTCCTTTTCAGATTGTACTGCATGCAAGTACCTTAAAGTAATGTTGCTTATATGTGACCCATTCCCAATGCTGTGCAGCTGCAGAGGGAGTTTTGGGCACAGTCTCAAAGCACTTTGGAATGGAATAAGAACTTTCTTCTCTGAGTTGTGAATCTTTGGAATTCGGTATCCCGGAGGCTTTGGATGTTCAGTGAGGATGTCAGTGAGGATGTTCAAGACTGAAGTTAATAGATTTTTGACTACTGAGGAATCAGGGGATGGGGCATAGTTTGGGGGAGAGGAAGCTCTACAATGTGAGGGGTCATGTGACCTTTGTCCGGCCCTTATTTCATATCTGTCTCATTGCTATTCTAATAAGCTGGTGATAGAAAGTCAGAGGTTGTGTAGTTGGTTTCATGGTTTTTTTCATTGTTGCAGAGACGATGATGACATTAATGATGTCACCTCAATGGCTGGAGTTAATCTGAGTGAGGAAAGTGCCAACATTCTTGCAACTAACTCCTATTTAGTTGGAACACAGATTCACTCGTGTAAAGATGAAGCTTTTCTGGCTAGTGGTCCTCTGCACAGACGCATCCTAGAAACAGGTAAGGGAACCACAGTTTCAAATAGGTTTGAGCTAATTTAGATCAATGTGTATATCCAGCCACCCAAACAAAAACTGAAGTGTGTAGTCCTTCTGTCAGGTGAAGGTAAACATCACAAAACTGTCTGGCAAAAGTCAGACCTTTCGTGTTGATTCACGTTCACGAGATAAATAGCCTCTCTCTTTACTTTGATAATGTTGAACTAGGTGCACTTCGAGTTAATAAATCACCCAATTGAATGAGATACATCCATGGATATAGAGGGAAGTAAAGGTGGAAATTATGAAGGCACTGACCATAATATTCCAATTCTCCTCAGATATATGTCTTGGTGCCAAAGGCTGCAGAATTGCAAATGTTACATCTGTGTTGAAAAAGAGTCTAAGGATAAACTCAGCAAGTACAGGCTATACCTTCAGCCTCATTTGCAGAAAGTTTTCAGAAACCATAGTCTGGGACCCAATTAACAAACGAGAGCAGCTGAGCGACACCACTACTGACTGAACTGGTTGAGTCCTAAAGGACACAGTTGCTAGACTGGGTTTGCAACAGGTGGTGAGGGAACCAACAAGAGGGAAAAACTTGACCTCATCCTTACCAATCTGCCAGGTACAGATGCATCTATCCATGACAGTATTAGTAAGAGTGACCACTGCACATTCCTTGTAGAGATGAGTCCTGCCTTCACATTGAGAATATTTTGCATCGTGTTACGTGGTATTATCGCTGTGCTAAAAGAATAGACTTTGGACAGGTCTAGAGCTCAAGACTGGGCATTCATGAAGTGCTGTGGGTCATTAGCAACATAATCATGCTCCAACACAACCTGCAACCTCTTGGCCCAACAAATATCCCCACTGTGCCATTACCATCAAGCCAGGGATCAACCCTGGTTCAATGGAGAGTGCAGGAGGGCATCCCAGGAGCAGCACCGGGCATACCTGAAAAATGAGCTGGTGAAGCTGCACAACAGGACTACTTGTGTGCCATACAAAATAAGCATTATATGGTAGAGTTAAGCGATTCCACAACCTGTTGATCAGATCAGCTTTGCAGTCCTGCCACATCCAGTCATGAATGGTGGTGGATAATCAAACAACTTGCTGGAGGAGGAGGCTTGGCAAATGTGGAAGTTATGAAGGCAGTGACTATCCTGAATGATGGTAGAGCCCAGCACATCAGTGCAAAAGATAAAGCTGAAACATGCACAGCAGTCTTCTGCCTGAGGTGCCGAGTAGATGATTAATCTCTGCCTCCTCCAGTGGTCCCTAGCATTACAGATACCAGTTTTCAGCCAATTTGATTCAGTCCGTGTGATACCTAGAAATGGCTGGAAGCAATGGATACTGAAAAGGCTATGAGCCCTGACAACATTTCAGCAATAGTACTGAAGAGTTATCCCCCAGAATCTGATGTACCCCTATCCAAGCTGTTCCAGTACCGCTACAACACCGGCATCTACCTGATGATGTGGAAAATTGTCCAGGTTTGTCCTGCGCCAAAAAAAGCATGACAAGCTTGGGCTGTAAAGGTGCAAGTGATGTTATTGCCACACAAATGCCAACAATGACCATCTCCAAAAGGGAGAATCTACCTATTATCCCTTCACATTTAATAGTATTGTCATCACTGAATCCCCCACTTCCCACATCCTGGGCTTACTATTGACCAGAAGCTGACTTAGATCAAATATACAAATATTAATGTTACAGGAGGTGGTTGAGCCTAGGAACCTTGCAGTAAGTAACTCACCTCTTGACTCCTGAAAGCCTGTTCACCATCTATGAGGCACAAGTCAGGAGTGTGATGGAATGCTCCCGACTTACCTGGATGGCTGCAGCTCCATCAACACAAGAAGCTTGACACCATTCAGGACATAGGAGCCTGCTTGATTGGCATCACATCCAGAAGCATCCATTCACTCCACCCACCATATGGATTGCAGCAGTTCAAGAAGGCAGCTCACCACCACCTTCTGAAGGGGCAACTAAGAATGGGCAAGTAATGCTGCCTCAGCCAGCAAGGCCCACATCCCTTGAGTGAATAAAAAGTGGTCACTTGAGCAAATGTGAATTCAGCAGGTCATGTTTAACTAGCTTCCTTCTGATTTTATATTAATTAACAGAGAGAATTGACAAATTTCTGTACATGGACTTCAAAAAGGTATTGGATAAGATGCAGTTGATCATAGTTATCACAAAGTTGGAGTCCATGGAACACCAGAAACAGTGTCAACCTGGGTACAAAGTTGGCTGACAGAAAGCAGTAGTGGTGAACAGTAGTTTGCCACTGGAAGAAGTTAGAAAGTATGGTTTTCTATTGGTTGGCAGTCTGAAGACCAAAGTCAAACACATTCTCGGAACCTGGAAAGTACGAACTGTCATGGACAATGTGCAAAATGACCATCCAGAATGAAGAATTGTCCTCGTTGCCTGTGAACTCAGTCACTTCAACATTGATATTGCTGCCCTTCAGGAAACTTAAAGAGCAGGCAAAGGGCAGCTGAGGGAACATCTTTTTCTGGAGAGGAAAACTAGAGGATCAACTCAGGATATATGGAATTGGATTTGCTGTCAAGAACAAACTTGTCAACCAGCTCTTGGAGCTCCTTGGTGGCATCCATGAACAACTCATGACTCTTTTCCTACTGGTTGCCATAAACCAGCAAGCAATGGCCATGAATGCCTATGCTCCAACCCTTAATGCCATAGATGAGTCCAAAGAAGGCTTCTACACTACCATGGACACTATACTTACCAACTTCCCTAAGGAAGATAAAATTATCTTCCTTGAGACTTCAACGCCAGAGTTGGAGAGGATGCCCAACTCTGGAAAGGAGCCATTGGAAAGGATGGAGTTGGGAATTACAACTCCAGTGGGATTCTTCTGCTTACCAAATAGGTGGAACACTAGCTGGTCATCACTAACACACTGTTCCACCAAAAAGACAAATTCAAGATGACTTGGAGGCATCCATAATCAAAGCACTGGTATATGATCGACCACATCATTGCTCGATCCAAAAACCAAAAGGATATCTTCGTTGCCAAAGCAATGACCAGTGCAGAGGACTGCTGGACAGACCATTGGCCCATTTGCTTCTTATTGTCCATCAAATACAACTAGAAGCAGCTGAAGAAAAGAAACAGTTCAGAAGAAAGCTCAATTTTGAGCAGCTTCAAGAGCAAAGTGAACCTGCAACAATGACTTCATCAAAATCTCCAAAGAGTTCATTTTAATGGAATGGAGGAAATCTGGAATGAGCTGAAGACAGTCGTTGTCTCAGGCTGTGAAGAAACTATTGGCTACAAGACCAGGAAAAACCAAGTCTGGTTTGATGTGAATGACTATGTCATCCAAGACCACCTCAACAAGGAGAGGAAACTGACAAAACAGCATCACCAGTGAGGCAAATTATGTCCAATTTGCAAGTGCTTCGTTCAGACACCTAAGTATGAGAGTCTTTGATGACTGTGATATCCGTGCTGATTATCAAACAGCAAAGGTAGACTTACAAAGAAAAATGAAGGAAATCAAGGGCCTGTGGTGGACAGAGAAAGCTAAGGAGCTGCAACTCATTGCTGACAAGCACGACACCCAGGGTTTCTTCAGTGCCAGCAAGGCAATGCACGGACTCAACACCTTTGGCCTCAAATCATTGCGGAACTCTTCTGAGAGACAGAGAAAGCATCAGCCTTCGATGGAGAGAACACTTTAAAGAACTCCTAAACCATGATATGGTTGTAGTTGAGGAATTGTTTGAGGAAGTCCCCCAACTCCCCAACAAAGATGGCCTTGGTCTCCCACATAGTGTAGCAGAAGTCAGAACCACCATTTGACGCATGAGAAATGGAAAGGCTGCAGGAGTAGATAGGATTCCAGCAGAGATTTTCAAACTTGGAGGAGCAGAGCTTACCCATCATCTCTATCAAGTGTTCCTGAAAATCTGGGACAAAGAAGAAATCTCTACTGATCTCAGGCATGCTGCCATCATCATTGCCTTCAAAAGGATATCTTCGTTGCCAAAGCAATGACCAGTGCAGAGGACTGCTGGACAGACCATTGGCCCATTTGGATTGTGTGAACTACTGATGGATCACCCCACTCTCCTTCACTGGGAAGATCATTTTCCAAATCCTTGCTTGGTGCCTTCTCCCAGTCTCTGAGGAAATCCTTTCAGGAAATCCAATGCAGCTCCCAATCAAACTGTGCAACGATGGACGTCATTTTCATGGCTCAGCAACTTCCCAGAAAAATGTCAGGAACAACATTAACCACTCAACATGGCCTTCATCAATCTGACTAAGGCTTTTGACTCAGTCAGTTGGGAAGATGCAATGGAAGACCCTGTCAAAAGCCAGCTGTCCAGTGAAATTCATCAACATTCTCTGTCTCCTCAGTGACAGGATGTCAGTGAGGGTTCTCTGGTAATATGGCAGAATCGCTTGAGGTCAAGACAGTTCAAGCAGGGATGTGTCATTGCCCTGACCTTTTCTCCATTCTTCTTCACCACCATTCTTCATCTTGTCAAGAGCAAGCTTCCCAGTGATGTGGACATTGTCTACAAGATGGACAGAAATCTTCTCAACGTCAACCAGTTGAACTTCAAGAAGAAAACAACACAACCTCATTTGTGGAACTTCACTGTGCGGATGACAATGTCACCTCTGCTGTCTCAGAAGACATTTTTCAAGCCTCCCTCAATGCTGTTATGGAAGCATAGCAAAGAATTGGTCTCAGTCTCAATCTCAAGAAAATGCAAATCCTTTACAATCCTTCCCAGGTCAAGATCCAGGATGTCCTACATCAAGATCTACAGAGAAATAGTACCAAACGTGGAACATTTTCCCCGACCTGGGAATCTACCTCTCATCTAAAGCTGACATTGATCAGAGATGCAGCATTATGTCCAATTTGCAAGTGCTTCGTTCAGACACCTAAGTATGAGAGTCTTTGATGACTGTGATATCCGTGCTGATTCCACAATATAAGGCAGTCAT